TACGCATGATGCGTCCATTTTAGTCTCTATACTACATTTTGAGCCGGTGATTTAACCCCCCCCCCCCCCCCACCCTCCCCCACCCGGGACTCAAATAGTTAAGGGAGTGTAAAGTAATGAGATGTCTTAACGATTGCCCTGTGACTGCAATTTAATTACCTTTTTTTTCTTTTAAACTTCAAAAATGTTTACGATTACAGTCGTTTGTTTCTCCGCTATCATCAGTACATATGGTGTTGTCAAAACGTGACCATTTGTGTGTGTGTGTGTATGTGTGTGTGTATGTGTGTGTGTGTGGGTGGGTGTGACTGAAGCGGCCGCAGAGCATCTGTGGGTGCACTCGGAGCCCTAAGGGTTGGGATCCGCTGTCAAAACCTATTCGAACTGGAATATATTTACTGGAGGAGCGGTTGGAAAGGAAGGGAGTTAAGGAATCAGGCGTGCCGCAGCAAAGAAAACATTTGAGGGAAGGTGAGATCGAAACCTCCTAAAAATTTTCTAAAGAGGATTTACCAAATGTTCTTGAGCCTTGTTTAATTTAGCAAAAATAATTAGTACTAATAAAAATAATTCTTCTTCTTTCTTCGTATGTCCTACTACTTATGCCGCAAAGTGTTACAGGTTAAAAGTTATAGATTAGTTCCCGGTCTTATGCTTGTTGCGTTGCTTGTGGTAATGTCATATTGTGTTTCTGTAGTATAATAATAATAATAATAATAATAAAAGGAAGAAGAAGAACAATAACGTGATAAATGGAAAATAAATAAAATAATATGTTTGAAATAATATTTTTTTAAGTAAAGGACCCTTTCCCACGCCTTTAGGCGTATAGGGCATAGAGGGCTAGACCTTTATTTTTATAGACTAATCGGCACAAGATGGGTGATGTGGTCAGCATCTCGCCGGCTGTCTCTACTTCCCGGGGCTGCATCCGGTACCCACTCAAGGCTGGGTCGACAAGGTGATTTTTGATAAAAGTCCGGTTTCGCCAGGGAGCGAACCAACGACTTTGAAATAATAATTAACTGTATCATGAATGCCTAACATTAGAACATCTATACGAGGTAGAGTCGCAACAAGCCTAGCAAGTCGGAAATTGATCTATTTTCCTTACAGAGAACAGAATACGCTATAAAGTGACTGATCAAACGTTTTAGACGTAGCACATCGGTCTCTGAGAAGGTTTGAACAACGGATCAACATCATGACATATAGGTAGTAACCCATAGGTACTCCGTTCTTCGTCTTCTTCTTTTTCTTCTTCTTCTTCTTCTTCTTCTTCTTCTTCTTCTTCTTCTTCTTCTTTTTCTTTTTCTTCTTCTTCTTCTTCTTCTTCTTCTTCTTCTTCTTCTTCTTCTTCTTCTTCTTCTTCTTCTTCTTCTTCTTCTTCTTCTTCTTCTTCTTCTTCTTCTTCATCTTCTTCTTCTTCTTCTTCTTCTTCTTCTTCTTCTTCTTCTTCTTCTTCTTCTTCTTCTTCTTCTTCTTCTTCTTCTTCTTCTTCTTCTTCTTCTTCTTCTTATTTCGTTAGCCTGAAATAAGTTGTCTATATCAGCAATAACTCAAGTCCAAATCCTAAGAAGCTCGGCACTGTTGAGTTGAGATGAGTCAAGAATTGACATCACAGCACTCAGGGCATTACCATGCATGCTTACTCCTCATCTTCAGCAGCCAGCTCAGAGTTCCAATACTGATGGTACCGGTCACAATCTGGTTAAATGTCCTTCCTGCCTTTTCTCTGAGTGTAGTCAGCCCGTTAGACCCTCTGGTTACACCCAGGTGCCTCCTTCTCTCCAGGCTATAATAATTTTCTTTCTCTACTGATTCCGTTGCTTGTTCCCAAAGGGCATTGACCACATCTGCCTTGCCATGTATCAGTTCACCACCCAGTGGTGCAGATCTAGCCAATCTGCCTGTCTGTTCATTACCCACCACGCTAAAGCTCAGCACAGTGCACAGGCTCTGTAGCACTGGCGAGGTTCCTGAAATACTTTGGGTATATTTTTAACTCAAAATTTTGCCCGGGCAGCGCCTTTAGGCTACTCTTGTCAATTTTCAACTGTGAAGAGATTTTCTAAGTACGCAACAATACACACGGGCGTATAATCTCACTGCCCAGAGACTAGGGGAATTACTAGAAGTCCACGTGAAAATATCCCAGCCTTCACCGGGACATGAACCCGGGACCTTCAGCACTCGAGGCGGATGCCATACCTCGAGACCACATAGTTCCCTGAAAACTAAAACTAGCTAGAATATGTCTGGGACTTGAAATTTACTTATATACATATATATATATATTGCCTCGTTTGGGGTTGTGAGGTCCAGTAACTTTATTGTTAAAGTTTAACGGTTTCTATTTACTTAAACACTTAGTAATTCGGTATTCACAAAGTGGGAATGAAAAGGATCTTTTTCACGGCACTAGTGTACCGGAAAAATGGCTCAAGACCTAATGGCTTGAAACGGGTCCATTGAATTTATTTTCGAAGAAATATTTTTTAAATAATATAACTTTCAACGTTTTCACGCCTCCACGAAACAGCAAACAAAAGTTCGAGAGAACTAGCATTAAATATATATTTTTTTAAATATACAGAAAATAAATGAAAGAAAAGCTCAGGCACTTAAAATTTACGTGTGACCCTAATTCCTGGAAACGGGTATAGATAAATCAATAATCCAAGTGGTAGTGGATTGAAATTCTAACTGCTGATTGGGTCGATGTAACATCGATGATGATTTTTCTTTTTACCATATAATGTTTTCTATACAAGTAGGCGTGGTCAGGATTAAATAGTTTACTCAATCAGCAATATTCAGTAAAAGGCGCATTGTTGAATAATTAATATAGAGGAGTGTTGATTGAATATAACGGGTAGATGCAGAAGGGTGACAGGTAATCTCTGGCGGAGCTTGGCAAAGTGGTAAGCGTGGTTTTACGTGAGTTATGTAAGCTGATTTCTTGAGGTAGTTAGGTTAAATATAACATAAAATGTCACCAGGAAATTCAGCGGAGGGAATGGAAAAGACACACACAGAAACAACCGAATGTTTCGACCAAAATCTTTGTCAACGAAGTTTTCTAGTCACATGTTGTGTTTCACTGAGCATTTCTAGTCACATTTTGTGTTATACTGAGCATTTCTTGTTACATTTTGTGTTATACTGAGCATTTCTTGTTACATTTTGTGTTATACTGAGCATTTCTTGTTACATTTTATGTTATACTGAGCATTTCTTGATACATTTTGTGTTATACTGAGCATTTCTTGTTACATTTTGTGTTATACTGAGCATTTCTTGTTACATTTTATGTTATACTGAGCATTTCTTGTTACATTTTATGTTATACTGAGCATTTCTTGTTACATTTTATGTTATACTGAGCATTTCTTGTTACATTTTATGTTATACTGAGCATTTCTTGTTACATTTTGAGTTACAGTGAGCATTTATTGTTACATTTTGTGTTATACTGAGCATTTCTTTTTTTACATTTTGTGTTATACTGAGCATTTCTTGTTACATTTTGTGTTATACTGAGCATTTCTTGTTACATTTTATGTTATACTAAGCATTTCTTGTTACATTTTGAGTTACAGTGAGCATTCTTGTTACATTTTGTGTTATACTGAGCATTTCTTGATATATTTTGTGTTATACTGAGCATTTCTTGTTACATTTTGCTTTACAGTGAGCATTTATTGTTACATTTTGTGTTATACTGAGCATTTCTTGTTACATTTTGTGTTATACTGAGCATTTCTTGTTACATTTTGTGTTATACTGAGCATTTCTTGTTATATTTTGTGTTATACTGAGCATTTCTTGTTATATTTTGTGTCATACTCAGCATTTGAAGTCATATTTGTGTTATACTCAGCATTTCTTGTTACATTTTGTGTTATAGTGAGCATTTCTTTTTACATTTTGTGTTATATTTAGCACTTCTAGTCCCATTTTGTGTTATACTGAACATTTCTAGTCACATTTTGTGTTATATTGAGCCCTTCTAGTCACATTTTGTCTTATATTTAGCACTTCTAGTCTCATTTTGTGTTATACTGAGCAATTCTAGTCATATTTTGTGTTATACTTAACATTTCTAGTAATATTTTGTGTTATATTGAGCCCTTCTAGTCATATGTTGTGTTATATTGAGCATTTCTTGCAATCAGCTCAACTGCAATCACACCTTGACGTTCTTGAGTTTATCAGTCTATGTGAATGTGTGTGTATGTAAAGGCCTGTATATGTATGTACGTGTGGCTATGAGTAGGTGTGGAATGTGTATTTTCATATGCCTGTGGGTATTGTCCGGTACGCCTGCCCAATCGTTTCCGGTTTGTCTCTTTTCCTGTCTCTGTGAGGGTTGGTAACGCCTAAACCACAGGCGCCACCAACATAACTCTACTGAGCGTAAATTTTGTCTAGAAAATAAAACAGCCACACATACACAAACAAACACACGCGCGCGCTCACATACACACACGCACGCGCAAACACACAATAATGTCGTGGTTTTTGCAATATCATGTAAAGGTTAAGCAGCTAACTTGTGTTGCTGAACATTTCTTGACCTAACGCAAGGTGCTGTCGTCATTTAGAGGCGATTGAGCTGAATATCTGAATGGTAACTGTAGCTATAGAAAATAACCTGGCTACCTCCCCAGGTCAGTCGAGCCTTTAATGGGAAACAGGTAAAGTCCTTAAAAGTTTATAAAACTGCTTGGCGATATGTTGACAACATCACCAAGGTTCGAATGGTCTATAAAATATAGGGCAAGCACTGTGTGCCCAATGCGCCCGAAGGCGTGGAAACGGGTCCTTTTAAATTATAGCCATCGATTTCGGCTTTGTCTCGTGCGTGTGTTCCTGTTCGTGTCCTTGTTTCACTACCATTCTGTCTCTGTTTCTATGAACGCCGATCAATACTTGTAAATGTAAATATTAACCTCCATCACATTTCCTGTATCGTTACAGAAGTATCACACAGCACCATGGTAAAGAGAATCAACCCTGAGTTTCGTTTTCTGCTTCTGGTGTTTTCTGTGGCTTTTTTGACGGATACATGCTGGGGTGAGTTTTCTAATAAATGCAACTGTCAGAAACGGCATAAAATGTGTCCAAAATAATTTTGTGTGTGGATTGATTCACCCTACCCTCTCCGGACTCCAGTGGGGAAAAAAGTGAAAAAAAAGGGGTTTGGGGGGGGGGGGGGGAAATAACGTAACAGTTAAACGGGGTTTCTGGGATTGGTATCTGCTGATTTTTCATCTGAATAGGGACAATTTATGCTTTGTGTCATCGGATGTTATTCGTTCACTGTTGTAGTCCTAGAGGGGTTCAGTTTCATTCATTACTTGTTTGGATTTGTTTATCTAGAATTATCTTAACTTTAGCGTCATAGCTATGCCAACGAGCCAGTGCACTTTTAAACCAACTGAACGCTGGTATTAACCTTTTCAGTGCTAGAATGTTTTGCAGCTAATGTCCAAATGGGCAACAAAAAAAAACATGAAAGCTAATAAAAGGCTAATCACAGAGGATGTGGCCATATGGGCAGCCAGATTTCTATATATTTTCTGGCCAAAAGTAAAATGTGAGAGAACACATTTTTCGATGGCTGAAACTCACTAGGTTGATTCCACCACACACACACACTATGCGTCTTTTTGTGTGTGTGTGGGAGGGGGGGGGGACTGAAAGAGTTAAGACGTCCAAACATAAGTATGAGCGCCAAGAAACAGATTATAAATATCATGTTCCCACCAACTCTGTACTACAAGTGCCAAAGTTTGACATTTTCGAATGCTCCGACGTTGATATTCATGTCATTTCCACAACCTTCTGACCTTTCAATCAACTTTGACACAGATGATCTTCCATGCCATGATGTCAAACAGTCCAGCATCTGTTCTCTTGGTCTCCCTCTGCCTCTCCTCCCTTTTAACTTTCCTACCATCACGATGTTCTCCAGTTTTCTCCTTCTCATCACATGGCCAAAGAATGTAGATTGTCTCTTTCTGATGTGGGCAATCATTTCTTTTCGTAAGTCAAATCCTTTCAAGACGTCTTCATTGCCTTTTTTTTTTTTAATTTGTCTAGTGTATTCATATAATTCGTCTATAAAACCACATCTCCGCAGCTTCCATATAATTTTTCACTCATTTACTAACTGTCCATAATTGACATCCGTATATCAGCTTATGATGTATACAGCTTTTAAGAATTCTCTTATTTTTATGGGGTCTCAATTGGCAAAGAAAGATTGCATAAAATATTATTAATTTCGAAGGTTTACCTAACTAAAATAGACACCTGTGGGATGATATGTCTGAAGAATTCGGCCAGATTCAAATCCGAGAAAATATGAGAAACTGTCCTATCAGATTGGAAACAACATCATATGCCAAATTTGCCGAGAAACAGACAACCAAATGGTTTGGTCATCTCGTTAGAATGCAGCCAGAGCAACTAACAACATATTCGCCACACATTCGCCACACATTCGCCACACATTCGCCACACATTCGCCACATATTCGCCACACATTCGCCACACATTCGCCACACATTCGCCACACATGACAAGATACTGTGTATAATCAAGAGGTCGCCTTAGAAGAACATGGACTGATGACATTAATGAGCCTCTACACGAAGACAGTATGACAGTAGCCATTGCTGCCCATCAAGCAATGGATCACAAACTGTTTCTCCCCATGTCGCTTACCACAAAAGTGGACATTCATAATGATGATGTTGATGATGACTGCCATCACTTTTTTTTCATTTTAATTTGACATAGGAATTGTATTTTCTTCGGAGTGTTACATAAAGCACGAGCACAGTGGCTCCAGCACCGACCTCTATGAATCTCCGAGATTCCTGCATTCGCGAATCAAAAGACGCAGTCTGAAATCGAGCCCACAACCTCCCTAATACGAGGCAAACGGCTTAATCACTTGGTTACCAGTATGGCTGTCCTGGGGAAGTAAAGACGACCGGCATAATGCTGACCACATTACACACCTAGTGCCGATTGGTCTGTAAAAATGTGGGTGCTCTTCCTATATGCCCGATGAGCCTAAAAGACGTGAAAAGGGATATTTACTTACTTTACATAGCTGTGTGATGAGAAGGAGAAAACTGGAATTCATCGTGACAGTAGAAACTTTATGGGGGGGGGGGGGAAGGGAGGGGGATGGGTTGGGGGGGGGGGGGGGCCTAAGAGAAAAGACGCTGGATAGTTAAACTTACTTCCTGTTTACGGGACACATATTGTGTTTTATTGTTCGCCTTTGTGGTTTTGTGGATCTTTGTAAAGTTCCAATGTAAGTGCTCCAGGTGCAACGTTCACTTGTCGTGTTTTTGATATTATGAAGCTGACTGGTTCTTAGAGGGGCGGCTGGCTGAACAGTTAGAACGCTAGGCTCTCGGATCGAAGACCCAGATTCGAATTATTGGTAAGGTTGTGGGGGTTTTTTCTTTCTTTCTTTCTTTCTTTCTTTCTTTCTTTCTTTCTTTCTTTCTTTCTTTCTTTCTTTCTTTCTTTCTTTCTTTCTTTCTTTCTTTCTTTCTTTTTCTTTCTTTCTCTTCTTTCTTTCTTTCTTTCTTTCTTTCTTTCTTTCTTTCTTTCTTTCTTTCTTTCTTTCTTTCTTTCTTTCTTTCTTTCTTTCTTTCTTTCTTTCTTCCTTCCTTTCTTTCTTTCTTTCTTTCTTTCTTTCTTTCTTTCTTTCTTTCTTTCTTTCTTTCTTTCTTCTTTCTTCTTTCTTTCTTTCTTTCTGTCTTTCCTTCTTTCTTTCTTTCTTTTTCTTTTCTTTCTTTCTTTCTTTCTTTCTTTCTTTCTTTCTTTCTTTCTTTTCTTTCTTTCTTTCTTTCTTTTCTTTCTTTCTTTCTTTCTCTTTCTTTTCTTTCTTTCTTTCTTTCTTTCTTTTCTTTTTTTCTTTTTTTCTTTCTTTCTTCTTTCTTTCTTTCGTTCTTTCTTTCTTTCTTTCTTTCTTTCTTTCTTTCTTTCTTTCTTTCTTTCTTTCTTTCTTTCTTTCTTTCTTTCTTTCTTTCTTTCTTTCTTTCTTTCTTTCTTTCTTTCTTCTTTCTTTCTTTCTTTCTTTCTTTCTTTCTTTCTTTCTTTCTTTCTTTCTTTCTTTCTTTCTTTCTTTCTTTCTTTCTTTCTTTCTTTCTTTCTTTCTTTCGGAAGCAAACATAAAATTCAAACATGCACATTCCGTGGCGACAGCACTAGCAATGCGGCCCCTTAGCCCAATTCTCTGGTGACAGCACTAGCAATGCGGCCCTTAAGCCCAATTCTCTGGTGACAGCACTAGCAATGCGGCCCCTAATCCTAATCATCAAATAACCCTCCCCCTCCCTTTTCCACCACCCCCACACGACAAATCTGGTAATTACAGGTAATAATTGTGTCTGTAGCTTAGGCGTTCCTAACTAGCTTCGTTGTGCTGTGTTCGATCGCAGCTGCAGGCGATTTGGCAGCAGACTGTCTCGCGTTGGTTTCGACAGTGGTACCCAGAGCGACCGTTCAGTAAGCGATGGTAAACTACTTACCTTTTTTTTTTGTCCGGTCGTTTTTAGGCACATTTTTATGTGCCTAACAAAAACGACTGGCAAAAAATGCTGAGGTTGATTCTATAGCGTCCTATAAAGGATAGGCGTCGAACTTGTTAATGGCAGCTTGGCAGATGACTAGTTGAAATTATAGTTCATTTTAATATCTTTTCTTGTTCTATATACAGGACAGAACAATGTGCCCCTAACGCAGAACTTGAGCTTTGCTGCTATAAGGCTATGGTCTGACAGTCCTAACACCATCAATCAAGGTCGGGTGGATCTGCAAATGAGCAATGAAGTTTGGGGAAGTATTTGTCCAGCCAGTTGGAACGAGTCTGTGACCGCCATAATTGTCAACACAATATGTGCCATGCTTGGGTTTATGTAAGTCGCAAAATAAAATAAGATTAAGTTTAAATAATGAGGCTGGTGTTGTTTTGGGCTCACTGTGGTATCGTTGTGTTGATGTTGTCAATGTGTTGAGACTGCGTTGCTGAAGTCATTGTGTTGAGATCATGTTGGTGACATCAATGTGCTGAGACCATGCTGTTGATGTCATTGTGTTAAGAACTTGTTTGTCATTCTGTTGAGACTGTGTTATTGATGCCATTGTGTTGAGACCCCGTTGATGATGTCATTGTGTTGAGACCCATAATGATGTCATTGTGTTAAGACCCCGTTGATGATGTCATTGTGATGAGACCATGTTGTTGATATTATTGTATTGAGACTATGTTGTTGGTGTCATTATATTGATACTATGCTGTTGATGTCATTGTTCTGAGACCATGTTGTTGATGTCATTGTGTTGAGACCATGTTGTTGATGTCATTGTATTGAGTCCGTGTTGTTGATATTATGGTACTGAGACCATGTTGTTGATGTCATTGTCTTGAGACCATGATGTTGATGTCATTATATTGAGACCATGTTCTTGATGTCAGTGTGTTAAGACCATGTTGTTGATGTCATTGTATTGACATCATGTTGTCGATGTCATTGTGTTGAGACCAGGTTGTTGATGTTATTATATTGAGACCATGTTGTGGATGCCAATGAGGTGAGACCATGATGCTTCTAAGCTTACAGCTTATATGCTGTCATTGTGTTGTATGTATAGTGATAATGTAACTGTGTTAAGTAACACTCTTAAAACATTTACTGAGAGAGAAGCAGCATCTGTGCCCATGGCTGGCGTCCTATACTGCAGGGGAAATGGGGGTGGGGGATGGGGATATGGGCTGAGATTCCGTACCTTCATAAGGAGCCCAGGTGCCTCCCCCCCCCCCCCAAAAAAAAACCATGTGTAAAAAGACAAGGAACTTGTTAAACACGGCATGTTGCTTTAACTAACACCCCCCCCCCTCCCCCACCCCACATTTTTCATTGATTTCTTTAATGTTTTCATTATGTCAGTGCCTTTGCAATATGGTAGATATTCAAAATCAAATGAGTTTAAATCTGGCTAGAGTCTCTAATCTTTCTATATTATATATCCTTTTTTATTACTATATTTAAAAAAAAAATCATCGCCATCATTAATTAACCCTAAGAATATTTCTGTAACAGGAATGGCGGTAAAAGAGTCCCAAACACATTTGGAGCTGGAAATAAAAACTTTATCATTGAGAACGCTACCTGCCCAGTCAACGCCACCTCGTTGTACCAATGCACTCAGTATTTCCTGAAGAAGTGCGGGCCTCAGGTAAAGTCAGATCATAACTTTACAAATCAATTTATTGCCTGGCGTATTTCGCTATATCTCTTCAGGTGAATTACTACACAGTTACATCAACATATAATGAAATACAAAATGAATCCTTTTTTTGCTGAAAAGCATAAACCACATTACTGTCATTTTGTGTTTTATTATCTTCTTCTTCTGCCTTTCTATCCCCCAGTGGAGCATAGGCCCTCAACCAACTCACGCCATTGCATGGAGCTCTCCCCGTGTCCTCCCCATCTTTCTATCTTCATTCTCCAGCTCTCTTCTCCATGTGTTTTTTGGCCTTCCTTTATTCCTATGCCCCTGTGGATATGTTGATTTAACTCTGTAGTAATGCACCAAAAGGGTGTTAAAATGTTACATAGAACATCTTCTGCTATATGGCAGCGAATCTTGGAATGTCAGTGAATAAATTAGAAAGAATTTGAAGGCAAAAGAGATGTGGTTTCTGAGACGAATGTTATGAATGCCTTGAACGGCCGGAGTAACTAACCACGACTGCTTGATAGAAGCTAATGAACGTAGATTTCTACATACAACAATAAGAAAAAGACAAACACTTTTCTTTGACCATATAATGGGCAGAAAGACACTGGAGAACATTGTGACAACTGGAAAGATCAGTGGGAAATGTAGTAAAGGCAGACCAGGAGAGATGATGTTGGATGGGCTGAAATGATGTCATGGAGGGATATTATCAAGAGAGCTGTTTCAGGCAACCAGGGATCGTGATCTGTGGAGACGCACGAGCGCCTACGCCAACTGGCAGGGCACATGATGATGATGAGTAATGCACCTAAGGAGACAGCAAAATTTACAAATCATCAGTAATATTATCGCCATCGTTACTGTCGACACTATCATCAGCAGTAGAATAAAACATCATGACCACCGCTATGAGAGTATTCAGAATCGTTGCCGTTTTCATTCGGCTTGTTTATACTATCTTTTTCGTCTTCTATCTTGCTGCTAAACCCGTGAAACGCTGAAGCGAGGATTTAGATTTAAGTTTCCTGTCTTAACTATATGCCTAGTTTATCTTAACTTTTTCTTTCCCAAAATAACCCGCCAGGTGGGATTAGAAACTGACCTATTCATAAAAGAAAACGCATTGTATGTTAACATAAGATATATACTTTTGGTCTGAACTTACTAAAGAAATCTCGCATAGTATATGCCTATTTAAAAGTAATATATTTCTTTTTTTTCTTTCATGTAAGTTAACATCCTGCTTGTATAAGTTCTGCAAAATCTTCTGGGACTAAAAGAGTTAATATCATATTGTGTTTCTGTAGCGTCTTATTCTCCCTGGACCCATCTCTTTTTTTTTTTTTTTTTTTTTGGTCGACATCTTGACTTGTAGCCTGTCGTCTTATATTAAGCTCTAGCTGATGGCTGATTTTGTTCCAATCTGACCAGATGACCAAACAATTTGATCCTTTGAAATTCTCTGAAACCATTTATGGTTACTGTGACTACCATTATTCTTTCTTAGTCCTTCGTTGGTGACACAGTTTCTTATTGGTTCTTCCACCAAAAGTAACGAAGAATAAAAATTTGAAAATTTACAAATCATCAGTAGAGTTATCGTCTTCATCATTGTCGATATTACCATCATCGATATTATTTATCATCATCGATATTAACATTATCGACATTACCATCATCGATATTACTTACCATCATCGATATTACCATCATTGATGTTACCACCATCGTCATCACAATCATCGATATCACTGTTATCGATATCACCTTCACGATATTACTATAATCGATATCACCATCATCGATATTACTATCATCGATATTACCATCATCGATATTACCATCATTGATATTACCATCATCGATATTACCATCATTGATATTACCATCACCAGTAGAGGACGAAACCATTGTCATCACATTAACCACCCCAGTCTTCACAGTCAAACTAGCTCTGGTTGTCATCTTCGATTCTTTCAAATGTTATTTACTCACACACACACACACACACACACACACACACAAAGACGCTCACTCATTGACACACATGCATTTACATACATACGCACACATACATACATATACACTCACTTACATATACATACATGCATACAAACATACATGCTCACACATACACACACATACATACACACACAATATACATACACACACACGTTTATTCCCATAATTACACTTACATTCCAATCTACTTAAATACCTACAAATGTGCGCAAGTTCACACATAGACACGCGCACCCATGCACTCACTTGAATGACGCTAATAATGCGACAACAGGGAGAAAGAAAAAAAGCAACAACAAAAAAGGAGGGCAAGGGGGGAGAAGGGGGAGCGGAGGTGGGGGCAAGAAGAAGTAGAATTAGGAAAAGAAACAGTCAAGGACGACGAGCAGTAGGAAGAGGAGAAATTACAGAAGAAGAAGAAGAAGACGAAGACGAAGAAGAAGAAGAAGAAGAAGAAGAAGAAGAAGAAGAAGAAGAAGAAGAAGAAGAAGAAGAAGAAGAAGAAGAAGAAGAAGAAGAAGAAGAAGAAGAAGAAGAAGAAGAAGAAGAAGAAGAAGAAGAAGAAAGAAGAAAGAAGAAGAAGAAGAAAGAAAAAGAAGATGAAGAAGAAGAAGAAGAAGAAGAAGAAAGAAGAAGAAGAAGAAAGAAAAATAAGAAGAAGAAGAAGAAAGTAAAAGAAGAAGAAGAAGAAGAAGAAGAAGAAGAAGAAAAGAAGAAGAAAGAAGAAGAAAGAAGAAGAAGAAGAAGAAGAAGAAGAGAGAAGAAGAAGAAGAAGAAGAAGAAGAAGAAGAAGAAAGAAAAAGAAGATGAAGAAGAAGAAGAAGAAGAAAGAAGAAGAAGAAGAAAGAAAAAGAAGAAGAAGAAGAAGAAAGTAAAAGAAGAAGAAGAAGAAGAAGAAGAAGAAGAAGAAGAAGAAGAAGAAGAAGAAGAAGAAGAAGAAGAAGAAGAAGAAGAAGAAGAAGAAGAAGAAGAAGAAGAAGAAGAAGAAGAAAGTTACAGAAGAAGAAGAAGAAAGTTACAGAAGAAGAAGAAGAAGAAGAAGAAGAAGAAGATGAAGAAGAAGAAGAAGAAGAAGAAGAAGAAGAAGAAGAAGAAGAAGAAGAAGATGAAGAGAAGAAGAAGAAGAAGAAGAAGGAAGAAGACGAAGAAGAGAAGAAGAAGAAGAAGAAGAAGAAGAACAAAAAGAAGAAGAAGAAGAAGAAGAAGAAGAAGAAGAAGAAGAAGAAGAAGAAGAAGAAGAAGAAGAAGAAGAAGAAGAAGAAGAAGAAGAACAAGAAGAAGAAGAACAAGAAGTTATACGAATCTAATTTACGAGTATATTAGTGTAATATGCAACTGGCACATTATTCTAACATTCAGTTGATAGATCAATCGAATATACAAGAGCTACAACTAGTTTGCTACATAATATTCACTTACACTGGCAACTGGAATATTAATCTATAATACGACAGACAGACAGTCTATTGTTATTTATTATTAAATTATTTATTATACACCAACAGGATCAAGAACTAGCTGTGGAGTGTGTCCCTGACCCGCGCGGATCTAACTTTGTGCAGCTGGCAAAACCTAGTCCTGTGCAGGGGTCTGGAGGGTTGTCATGGAACCGCGCCGCCGTGAACACGGTCATACTGAACGGTACCAATACCACAAATTGTAAGTGAAAGTGTACAAGCAATGCTGTTGGTGTTGTCTCCGTGTCTTCTTCTTCTTCGTCAATCTTTCTCTCTCTCTCTCTCTCTCTCTCTCTCTCTCTCTCTCTCTCTCTCTCTCTCTCTCTCTCTCTCTCTCTCTCTCTCTCCCTCTCTCTCACACATTCAGTTGTGGAGATCCTATTTAAAGGGGACAATTTGACCCACTATCACTACATAGGTGACCGGGTCGCTCTTTGGCCAGCCGGTAGACGACTTCGTCGCCGGTCGGGACAATATTTTGGTCTGTCTCCTCAACTCTGCAAGGAGTTCTTTTCAGAGCTCTTGGTAGCGGGCAAGTTATTTTTTATGACGCTCATAACCTTACGTGGCTACAATTATAACCTAGAGCTTCCCTTTTGTGGGTGCTGGTTAAACGTGACGATTTGTTTTTCTCGTAAAGCACCTACCTAACACTATCACTAACATGCATGTCCTAGAAGGCGATTTACTAGGCTTTTGCAGAAATCGGATGTGTGGGTCGAAAGGCGTAGTTATAGCAGCCTAACTGTTAGCCACGACGCAACGTGCCCACCTCCTTTTGAAGAGCAAACGCAGAAGGAAACGAAGTTTGTGTGTGTGTGTGTGTGTGTGTGTGTGTGTGTGTGTGTGTGTGTGTGTGTGTGTGTGTGATGAGTATGTCAAGGATATTAAACTTGATGTTTGAAGTTATTGCTTTTGACAATGCCGTTGATGATCTTACCCTTGTTGTTTATATCAGGGATATTTATATTTATGTTAACACTATTGATATTTTGACTGCTGTCGTTATTCCTGAGCAAGAGGACGTTGACGTTAAATGTGTAAGGCAAAAAGTGAAAGGGTGGGTGGGGGTAGAAGTGTTAATAGACACACTGCCCCTAACAAGCATGACGTAAATGTCGGTTAGTTAGGGGTGTTTCTTTCGAAATCGGAGGGCATCTGCCTGAGAGGTAAGGAACCAATAGTATCAATACCAATAAACAAGATCTGTGAAACTAATGAGCACGCAAAATACAGATTTGGAACAAGATTAAAGTCCAAAAATGGATGAACTAGCAGAGCTTTCTGTTTAAGTTTGAAGCCGATGTACACGAAGAGGGATGTCTATGTATGTAAGCTGTACCCAACCAGGACATCACACCTGTTAAAACAAAGTGCCACCATACTTATGAGGATCACCCGTGGAGAGGTTCCGAAAACCCCATTCAGGAGTTAGGTCATGCTACCTGCAAAAGCCGGGGCTTGGACTACAAAATAACTTTAAAGAAAAATTTCATCCCACATGGGGGCGACAAGGATGATAACGAAGAGGAATATGAAGAACTATTTTGCTGCTGAATAAATTATTGCATGAGTAGTATCAGTAACACTAATATCAATATCAACAACATCAGTAAGCAAAAGTAAATAAAATAATTTAAAACAAATTTAAAACACACACACACAACCGAACTTAATGGAAGCTTAAAACAAGGACCCCCAATTCATGCGTTGTAGTTCATGGGGCCAAAGCTGCGCTATAAAGATGTATGCAAACGTGACCTAATAGATACCAACATAGGCACAGAGACATGGGAAAAATCAGCTGCAGATCGACTACTATGGAGACAGAAAGTGAAAGACGGACTGTCACATTTTGAAAGAAACTGACTGACTGACTGACTTTCTACCCCACCAGGACATCACACAAGCGATAAACACCCGATGACACAAAGTGCCACCATGCGGGTGAGGATCGCCGTGGAGAGGTCCCAGAAACCGCGTTCAGACATTTGGCCATATTTATGGCCTGCCTATATTGCGGCCCCTGGCAAAAGCCAGAGTAGGGCTTCAAATGACAAAAAATTTCGTCCTGAAAAGGACGAAATTGTATATATTTTGAAAGAAACCGAACACAACGAGCTGTGGAGAGGAGACACCGGAGAGTAAAACTGCCTCACAACGAGAGAATATCTGCTTTTGTGTGTATCCTGTGTGGCAAAGACTGCCATTCCCGCATCGGACTTTACAGTCACAGCAGATGCTGTTCCCAAAGCCAGCGGCACATCTCCATAGTCCCCCGGGACTGACGGATGCCATTATAAAGTTCATGGGGTATATATTGCAAGGCCAAAGTTTTCAGGTTACAGTGATCCTACAATTCAAACTACTCCGCCCCCAATATGGGACGCAATTTGTATTTATTTATTTTTAAAGCGCCCCAGCTGCCATCAGTGCCCCAATAAAACATAAAGTTTGAGCGTGGTTTCTGGGACTTGTGTCAGGGGGGGGGGGGGGGGGTCGTCATCCAAATAGTATCACTTTGTGTCACCGGGTGTTAACTCCTTATTGTGCTGTCCTGTCGGGATTAAACGTCCCTCTCCTCTTCTTCTTCGCGTTCACCAGCTTGCTTTCTGGCGGAAAGTTCCGGTTGTTCATCCACTTCTGGACTGCAGTCCTGTTTCAGAATCTGAGTGTTGCGTGTGCATCCGCTCTACAGATCTGACTCATCTGTATGCAGACTGCTGGTTTCTTGCCTTTCAGGCAGATGCACTCCGACTTTGAAGGAAGCTCCCAACTAGTCGACTCTTACGACATGCTTTGGATAAGCAGTGGGCCTATTCTTGTTTTCCATATAACATGGCACTAGAACCCACTCGGGGGACGTCACTCTCTACAATTAATCATTCAATAAAACGTGTCTAAATCCTCAGGTGTTGCCAGCCCGAATGCCCGACTTTTCAGCGGTGACGTTGTCAACAGTTCAGTTGGCAATGGCTTTGTTCAGGTCAAGATCAACGATCAATGGGGGTTTGTCTGCACCGACACTTGGAACCAGGCCGCAGCCATTGTCGTCTGCAGAGAGCTGTGTTATGAGAGGTCAGTTCTGTTTATCTGATTCATCACCAAGTGCCTTGCCAGCTGGCGAAGGCGTTAATGCGTCTCCACACATCTCGATCTTTGGTGTTCTGGATCAACTCCACTGAAAATGTTCTTCCATGCAACGTCTTAAGCCATCCACCATCGATTCTATTTTGCTACAGTGCTGTTACACAACAATTTAGCTTTGAAAAAAAAAAAGGTTCTTAAATCTTTCTGTCCCGAACAGGTGTTACTGTAACCCAGAGCTATTCAACTAACTTTAAGCAGAGACCAAAATGTTTTAATCGGGATCATCGCTGACCAGAGGTGCAAGCCAAACCACATAAATATCATTCAGACAGAGAACCTGGCAATGATCCGCGGGTAACTTGCTTGGCCTTCGCGGATCAGATCTGGCTCGCGGGGTGCCAGCTGAACAGCCATGCCTTAACCCATCCATCCATCCGTCCGTCCATCCCTCCATCCGTCTGTTGTCTATTCATCTATCTGTCTGCCTGTCTGTTTGTCTACTGGTATTTAAACGCTAGCAACTGCACCAGTCTTATCCTTTGGACTTTTAACCCATCCATCCATCCGTCCGTCCATCCCTCCATCCGTCTGTTGGTCTGTCTATTCATCTATCTGTCTGCCTGTCTGTTTGTCTACTGGTATTTAAACGCTAGCAACTGCATCAGTCTTATCCTATGGACTTTCTGAAGGTAGAAATGTCATCCCCACGATCCGCGACCTTTTTTGACAGTCAGTGGACACTTTGTTTCTGTTGGCGTTAAATCTTCCATCACCCAGGTATACTGACTCAGTTTTCACTTCCCGTCCGCGCGGTTGTGATATATAGGTTAGTACCTGTCCAGTTTATCCTTTTGAACGAATTTTTCGCCGGGGACACAGATGCGTATTATTTATTTAGTACATAATAGTCCTACTACTATAATAGTACAGCACACCCCCGTTTGTATTAGTCTTTCTTTCACTTTATTATAAAGTAGCTCACCTCTCAGAGGAGCGGTAGCAGTATTCTATCAGCCTGCTCGTTTCCTCACACACCTAATATCCCGGACAGATATTCCACGATATGCTCCTGATCTGGGTCTTATACCTTATACTTTGGTTTTCTTTCTGGTGCTGTTCATACTAACAATTCAGAATCAAAGGATTACAACACATCTGTCAGTGACCAAAGACAACAAGAAAATCATGTAACTTGTGGAATAACCCAGAAACGCATTGTAGGTTGGCGTCTGTGGCTTAGACGTTGCGAACGGGCTTCTCAGTGCGGGAGTTCCGGGTTCGATCCCAGCTGCCGGCCTCGCGCCTTGCATTGATTTCGACTGTGGTATATCGAGAAGCCGACTGTCCAGCAGCAATGGCAAACTACTCGACGTAAATTTGCCGATAAAAACCATAACAGCCAAAGAATTCTGGGGTTGGTTCTGCAACGTCATGTAAAGGGTGCGCAACTAACTGTAACTATTTCACCCTCGTTTTCTTCTTCTTCTTCTTCGTCTTCTTCTTTGATTTATAATATGCGTATATTTGAAGAAAAAAAAATGTGAAGTAATAACCTCTATGACTGAAAGAGCCTGCCAGTAACATAGAATGTATCATGTTCTCCCACACAGCGTCCCAGGTTTCACACCTCTTCCCGGAGTCATTGCTAAGTCAGTACCCGACCAACTGAACAGGACCTTTGCCCTGAGCAGCGTCAACTGTGTTGGAACAGAAAGCAGTCTCCTGGCATGTCCTGTAGTTAACTCTTCAGCCGTCTGCTCACCGTCTACTGTTCTTGCCGGCGTCCAGTGCCGCCCTGACTGTTGTGAAGGTTTGTAGAGCTTCTCGCCTGTGTGTTTGTTTGTCTGTATATGTGTGTGTGTATGTATGTATGTATGTATGTATGTATGTATGTATGTATGTATGTATGTATGTATGTATGTATGTATGTATGTATGTATGTATGTATGTATGTATGTATGTATGTATGTATGTATGTATGTATGTATGTATGTATGTATGTATGTATGTATGTATGTATGTATGTATGTATGTATGTATGTATGTATGTATGTATGTATGTATGTATGTATGTATGTATGTATGTATGTATGTATGTATGTATGTATGTATGTATGTATGTATGTATGTATGTATGTATGTATGTATGTATGTATGTATGTATGTATGTATGTATGTATGTATGTATGTATGTATATATATATATATATATATATATTTACATGTGCAAATGTGTGTGTGTGTGTGTGTGTAAAAGTTGAAGTCAAGATTATCGACTTAACTGCACCGAGTTTTATCCCATATGTCTAGGTTTCTCTCTCTCTCTCTCTCTCTTCTCTCTCTCTCTCTCTCTCTCTCTCTCTCTCTCTCTCTCTCTCTCTCTCTCTCTCTCTCTCTCTCTCTGCGGAACGGCTAGCCTTCTGCCGAGAGCTTAGCACGAACTCCCTAGCTTCGGCGACGCTGATCCCCGGGGGATTTCCGTAAAAGCTGCGCATGTGGACTGAAAAACGCTGCAGAGAAACGAACCCATGATATTCAAAGCACGAAACAAACGGCTGACCACCTTACCCCTGTTGGTTCCAGGGCCTCTCAAGCAGACGCACTACTGCGAAAGCCTTGGTCTGATCTACGTTGGCGGGGCTCCAGGTTGGGAACCTGTTTTCCGGATGAACACAGAGCGGCGTAGACAGATTTTGACCCCATGAAACCTGGTGCAGCACGTGAGGTTCATCACCCTGCCATTGCACTCTGGGAATGAGTGTCTGTGTCCTGGGCTTGGCTTGATTTGAAAAAAAAATAAAATTGTCACCTTCAAACAGCATCCTTAAAGTAGGTGTTTTATGTTGTAATTGTGACTAGGTTATGTGCGCCATATAAACTAGGCTTAGCATTGGACGCCACCAAGTAGCCCTGAAAAGGACTCTTCAAGTGCTGATGCACTCACAGGAGTTGGCCCAAATATTGTCCCGAACGGTGACGGAGTCGTCTACCGGCGAGCATGTGGGCGAGCCTGTCGCCGATGTGTCTATTTCTGCGTATATATTAGTTTATGCAAGAGGGAATGTGATAAGGTATATGTGTGTTAGATAAATTAAATTAATTAGTTAAATTTTTAACAGTAAGTTAGTTAAATACTAAGCAATAGACGATACAATAATAAAAAAAAAACCCGAGATATGTTCGGGTAAGTTAGTTTTGTACTAAATATTGGACGATACGATGTGTGAGTCTTAAATGTGATGCTGTAACATAATATGATTTAACGATTTTTCATTACTTCTAGACAAACCGATCGTCATGCCCTATATGAACTGCAGCACAGAGGTGCTGATCGCAAACTTCACCAAGGACAGGTTTCCAATGATTACCGTCAACAATATTTTCCTGGTCAACTATGTACCCAGCCAGTGTATGAACGTCACCTCCAACCAGGCCGGCGATGTTCTCGTCAACGTCTCCGTGGCTTCCGGATGCGGAGTGAACCTTCAGGTGAGTTTTAACAGGTGTTATCCTCATCATCATCATCGTCGTCGTCATCATCATCATCATCATTATCGTCATCATCTTCCTCATCGTCATCCTCATCATGCGGTGTTGTTATGCGCCACACAGGGTTTACAGTTTAGTCCTACTTTTCGTCTAGTGCATGTATGTGTACGCATGAGTGTGGGTGCTTGTATGTGTCTATACGAGCATGTGAGTGCATGTATGTATTTGTATGTATGAGTGAGTGTGTATGTATGTATGTATGCATGTATATGTGTGGAGTGCTTGTGTCTGTGTATGTATGGGCATATAAGAGAGAGTGTGTGTGTACGTGTATACGTGTTTACCCGAAGTGTGAATGATTGTATTTATGCATTTTCTCATTATGTAAATTTTTATACACACATAACATACATTATTGGAGGTTCAAGGACGTTAAGTTACCCCCCCCCCCCCCCCCCTCTTCCCCCATTTCCCATTTCTGCAAAAAAACACATTGACCACGCTCAACCTACGAGCTGTAGCCAGACTTCCAGTAGTATCAGGTTATATTTGTGGTCTGTGTGATTTCCCGCCATTGAATGACTAAACAGTGCGCCACCAGGTAGTCCTGAAAAGGACTGCCTACCAAACAACCCTTACAGCAGTGGTTCTCAACCTTGTTAATGCCGCGACCATTCCTTACAGTTCCTCGTGTTGTAGCGACCCCAAAAACACCCAGTCAAGAAAAACAAATTTAGTAACCATGGGAATCAGCGCCGTTTGGCTACTCTTTTTGATTTCCAACTGCCAAAGGATTTTTTACGTGTGCAACAATGCACACGGGCTTCTGATCTCACCACCCAGAGACCAGGGGGGAAATTACTAGAAGTCCAAGTAAACATTAAAAAATCCCAGGGCTTACCGGGGATGGAGCCTGGAACCTCTAGCACTCGAGGCGGACACCATACCCCGAGACCACGCAGCCCTCTTTAGGAGTGAAGAAGAAGAAGAAAAATGAAGATGAATTTTCTGGCCATGCATGCATGTAATATGTCAGTGCTCTTGTTGTCAAACTGACGTGTGTCATGTATAACGTCTGTTTCCAGGAAAACTCTACACATATCACGTATGCGGTCTCTGTCCGAGCCATCTGGGTGTCTGGATCCGTGGTTATCAACGCTTACAGCAATGTCAGGTATATTCGTAACACAAAATCAACCATTGGTGTTAGACAGACATAGACAGACATAGACATAGACAGTCATAGACAGACATAGACAGACATAGACAGACGTACGGATGGACGGAGGGAAGGTCGAACAGATCAGAGCACTGGCTCCCGGTGAGGGTTCCAGGGCCTCATTATTTTACAATTTAATGTTACTGTTCACTATTTATCACTAGCTGCGCATGCGTGCTCCAGCAGCAAATCGACGAGTAGGAGATGAACCAAATGATACGCTCTCCAGTGTAATCGGTATCTGCTAACGCTTACACATGTGGATCAGATAGAGATTGAGAGAGGAATGGACGCAGTATGAATGTTAGGCACGCTGCCCGACAAACATAAACAAAAAAAAAAAAAAAAAAAAAAACATATACACACAGACAGACACACAGACAGTCAGTCAAAGATTTGCAGGCATACAGGCATATGAACATACTGACGGACAGACACAATGATGGGCGGACAAGTATTTGACAGACACAAAGACTTCCTCTTCTTCTATTCTTCTTCTCCTCTTCCACCTTGTACCTCAGCGATGTGTTGGGGTGAGATGTAACATTCGTTGATGAGCTTCTCAAATTTTATCTTGAGCTCTTGACACAGACATGCGTACATCATTTTTTAATGTTAGGGGTCACATATTAGGCACACAGGCTGGTTTTACATTAGGCCTTTTCAAACATTCATCCTCCCTGTGTGGGTTCCAGGTCCCCATAGAGGGGAAAAAATAATAAGACTTGCTGCCTCCCCAACAAGCATGTCGTAGGAGTCAACTAACTGTGTGCTTCCTTAGAAGTCGGAGTGCATCTGTCTGAAAGGCAAACAACCGACAATCTGCATACAGATTAGTCAGATTTGTAAAAGGGATACACACGCAACACTCAGGTTATGGAACAAGACCAAAAGTGGACAAACAACCAGAATTTTCCTCCGGAGTTTAACAGCTAATAAACACAAAGAAGAAAATGAAACACTCCTCTTTCATATGATAATTTTATTTTACATATCAACTATTCTATGTTTATGCAAATAGAAACATAGAAGCATGGATGGTAAAAGGTAATTCTTTAAATGTATTGGCAAAAAAATGTTGTTCGTCCATCACAAGTGTGGACCACTCTTCCATTTATCCGTAATAAAACACACACACACACACACACACAAACACACACACACACAAACTCACACACACATACAACACACACGCGCGATCTAGAAACACAAGCGTGACAGTAAAATAGACACAAACACATATACACAAAACACTGTTCGGAGGTTTTTGTGGTGGTGGTCAAGCCGTTTGCCTTGCGCTCAGAAGGTCGTGGGTTCGTTTCAAGGCTGCAGTCTTCAGCTCACCAGTGTTTTTACAGAGATCCGTGGGGATTATCGCAGGAGCTACGGAGTTCATGCTCTGTGTAGCGCTAGCCAACAGACGGCTAGCCGTTCTGCAGAGAAAGAGACCGAGCCATATGGGGTATAATACACGGTACAATGAAGTCGGTCCTCTCGACTTAAACCTTTAAAAAACACTAGACAAACAGAAAAGGCAGCCATTTGGACAGACTGTTGTCTTGCAGGCAAACATACAGAAAGGGAAGTTACTGTCATTACATTTCATTTCAGGTACGACCTGGTTTGTTCCCTTCCCAAAGTGTACGTAGTCACCAACAGAATGGAGCCCTACACGAAGGCACCAAACGTGACCCTTTATCAGCAGTACAATTTTTCAGTAAGTGCTATAACTTATGTTCTGTTTATGTTGGCAAAATACTACCATCATCATCAAGTGTATTTAAACATAAAATACCCGTGTGGGTTCTAGAGAACTATTATAGGGAAAAGAAGAACAAACCCACTGCCTACCCAAAAGCATATCGCAAAAGTGGGCTAATTTGGAGCTTACTTCGAATGCTTCTGCGTGAGAGACAAGGAACCAGCAGTCTGCATACAAATGAGTCAGATCTGTAAAACGGATGCACATGCAGCACTCAGGTTCTGGAACAGGACTGCAGTCCAAAAGTGAATGAAAACCAGAACTTTTCGCCTGAGTTTACTGCTGGTGAACACGAAGAAGAAGAAACAAAACATACTATACGACAGGAAAGCTTAAAAAGACGGAAGGGAAAAAGACACGCATGAATACAGTCGAACGTTAAGACCGAAGTTTTCACCAATGGTTTACTAATACAACACACATTTGTGGCCGGAAAACTCAGTAGAGCTTCTGAACAACCAAATTTAACCTGAATTTAGGAACTATGTTTAAAGAAAACAATGTGGCTCCAAGCTGCCACAGAAAGTTCTGGTCGTTCGTTTACTTCTAGACTTTAGTCTTATTCCGGTATACACACCGCTGGTTCCCTGCCTCTCACGCACAAGCACTCCGACTTCAAAGAAAACTTATAATTAGTCAACTCTTACGACATGCTTAGCAGGGAGGCAGTGAGTCTATCCTCCATCCTCCTTTAAACATTCGGGCCTCGAAACCCACACGGGATTTTCACATTATGAATATATATTTCTCTTTCCCCAGTGTTAATACATGCATATTTCATTTTCTCAACACATGCACACATAAACTCATACATTTATGACCCAGCTAATTTCACACATATTTCACTAATATTGTGAAAATTATTTATAGACGAATGATAAGAATACACTGGACAGATTAGAAAGACTAATGAAGATGTCTTAAAAGAAACAGACTCACAAAGAGTATCTGATGGCCGACACCGTAACGAGACAATCTACGTTCTTTAGTCATGTGATAAGAAGCAGAAAATTGGAGTACATTGTGACAGTAGGAAAGTTGGAGGGGAGGAGAGGCAGAGGGAGATCAAGAGAACAGATGCTGGACAGTTTGACATCATGGCGTAGAGGATCATCTGTGTCAGAGTTGATTGAAAGTACAAGAGACAGAAGGTTGTGGATAGACATGACTACCAACGCCACACGGCATAGACTTTAAGAAGAAAACAGGAGGCACAAGGCTGTGGATAGACATGACTACCAACGCCACACGGCATAGACTTTAAGAAGAAAACAGGAGGCACAAGGCTGTGGATAGACATGACTACCAACGCCACACGGCATAGACTTTAAGAAGAAAACAGGAGGCACAAGGCTGTAGATAGACATGACTACCAACGCAGCAAGGCATGGATTTTAAGAAGAAAACAGGAGGCACAAGGCTGTGGATAGACATGACTACCAACGCCACACGGCATAGACTTTAAGAAGAAAACAGGAGGCACAAGGTTGTGGATAGACATGACTACCAACGCCACACGGCATAGACTTTAAGAAGAAAACAGGAGGCACAAGGTTGTGGATAGACATGACTACCAACGCCACACGGCATAGACTTTAAGAAGAAAACAGGAGGCACAAGGCTGTGGATAGACATGACTACCAACGCCACACGGCATAGACTTTAAGAAGAAAACAGGAGGCACAAGGTTGTGGATAGACATGACTACCAACGCAGCAAGGCATGGATTTTAAGAAGAAAACAGGAGGCACAAGGTTGTGAATAGACATGACTACCAACGCCACATGGCTTGGACTTTATATATACCAACGCTATACGGTATGGACTTTATGAAGAAGAATCTCAGCTATCCTTCACATTTACCAGGGTTCGATTCCTGCGGTTGGTGATTTAGCGAAAAACATATTTTCATGGCCTTCAGGGATAGTACGAGAGTCGCACCGTGGGAGAGATTAGGGTTTCACCACGTAATTTGTCACATAGCAGGCATTGCTGCCAAATTCAATTGTGGGGATGACCCAGTTTTGGCATACAAATATGAGCCTTACGTTTTTTGTGTTAAATGTACCAATTGCCGTATATAAAGAGTCCGCTCCCAAAGGGCCCTCACAACATCTAGCTTGTCATTTGTTAGTTCACCACCAAGTGGCGCAGAACCCGCCAGTAATGAAACGCATAAACATTTTCATAGAAGCTTTCTGTTTAAAAACGTCATCATCAGGTGATATATTCCGCCAAATTTTAGATCGAATTACAGTAGCTTTGTTTTGTATTAAAGTTATGAAATGTGCCTGGGGACTAATGGGAATCACATTGAGCATCTGCAGTAGCTTCCAATTTGTTTGCATCTCTTCGTGTCTAAATAAATTTAGGGGTATCCTCCGAATAACGGCACACATTATGGTGGCCAAAACAGGGCCTCAGTCACGTGTCAATTGCGCACTTCCGCCGACCTAATTTGCGGTTTTCCGGCGACTACTGCCACCACCGAGAGTATCCCCATACACTAGAATGCTGGTACTCACGAGCATAGCTGCAGGAGATGCAGAAGCTTCTGCTCGTGAGTCCCAGCCATCTAGTTTAGCCCCAATCTACGCCGCGTGAGCGGCGTGCGGCATACCCCTCGGCGGTGGCGGTAGTCGCCGGAAAACCGCAAATTGGGTCGTCAGAAGTGCGCAATTGACACGTGACTGAGGCCCTGTCAGGGTGTTTTTGCGGGCGCCATAAAATGTGCCCGTAATTCGGAGGATAGCCAAATTTAGTTTCAAAATGTTGACACAGTTGAACCAAAAAAAAAAAAAAACTCGATGCAGTAGATTGCTAGCATAATGGATTCAAATACTGCAAATATCGTACATGTCGATACATTTCATTGCTTGGCGATTACTTTGTACACTTTTTGGTTCTTTAATAATATCTTACCTCAGATAACGTCACAGGACAGTCCAACATTTTAGAGGGTGGTAAGACTGGGTGTCGCGGCTTTCTCATGCTTTTAACGACCTAAAAATATCTAGAACTGGCCCTAACCCCAACCCACCCATGACCCACGAGACAGTGCAGCCTAGGTCCCACAACTGTATGCAGCCTATCTAACACCCCCTGAAATATTTTACTGTCCCGTGACCTGTAGATTTGCCGTGTTTGGGGTAGGATAATAATAAAGCACCCACCTTTTGTTGTTGCGGTCTGTGTTTTCTATTTACAAGACAACCATTCACCACCCCCACCTAACATCGGAGGTCAAGGACAGTCACCACTCCCCCGATCACACCACAAACAAAACAGTACCCAACCTCCGGGTAATATTTGCAAAAAGTTTGTTGCGTATCCTTTACATGACGTTGCAGAACCAACCCTAGCATTTGTTTGCTGTTGCAGTTTTTCTAGGCAAATTTAGGCCCAGTAGTTTGCCATTGTTTTCTGGACGGTCGACTTCTCGATACCATTGTCGAAACCAACACAAGGAGCCCGGCTTGTAGCTGGGATCTAACCCAGCACCCCGGCATTACAAAGCGCGTTCGCAATGCCCAAGTCACAGACGCCGACCGGGTATTATTAACACCTTCAGTCAACAAGTTCACTGAGTGAATCAGTGAAACTGAGCCCCACAGGACCTGACTCTGAGCGATTAACATCACGTGACGCAAATCGCAACACTTCATTACTCGGATAAGAATTTCCCCAGGTCAAGTCCCAGAAACCCGGTTCAGCCGTCAGGTTAGTTTAGTTGTCTCGACGGTTACAAATTAATCTGAAGTCCAGCTGGAGTGGGGCAGTTAAAAACGGTCTTATAAAGGGACAGATTATAGTCTGTTTCAAAAATCGCGCCCAACTTTAAAAATCTGTAACTCAGTAAAACGTTAGGTGTAAGGTCCTAAAATTTGTTATGCAACCTGTTAAAAATCATGTCCCTGTAAGAATTTCAGAGAGAAAAAAATATTTATGTATAGTTTTCATGTTTCCTTATTTGCAACACACACACACACACACACACACACACACACACACACACACACACACATATATATATATATATATATATATATATATATATATATATATATATATATATATATATATATAACAGCAACTTTTCAAAACATCTAATTACACGTGTGTCATAAGTGTTTCACTCTTAGATGGTCATCATCAGCATTAGCTTCTCATTAGTTGAGGATTTTTCATTGCATGCCGGATAGACTATCAAAATAATCATCACCCATGGCTGCATATGGGAATTGATTTCCAAACAATCCCCAAGCCCGTGTCAGCTACTGTATTTTCCTTTTTTTAGTCGTACACAAATTATTACTCTTGTCTGGGGATCTGAAGGTTGTGGGTTCAGTTTCTGAAGAGTGCCGGACTTTTTTTTCAATGACCTTGGCTCCCAGGTCAACCCAGCCGTGAGTAGGTACCTGGTACACTCGTGACCACATCATCCACCAAGTGCCGTTTGATCTTTAAAATATAGGTCTAACCCTATATACACATTACGCCTGAAAGGTGTGGAAAGGGTTCTTTACACCAATTATTAGTCACACAAAGATAACATAAATCAGTCACTTTAAGAAAACAGCAGCACCTTTGCAATTGCACTCTCTAAAATCATCTGGACATTGAAAATTTAAGACCACTTGCAAAAATTCGTGTTGATCCGTACAAGAGTTTCCCAGATATTTGTTTAAGTGTGAGAACACGATTTCTGAAACGCACTAAAATGCCCCAGTTGACCACTCATCAATGTTGACTTCTAATCTCAGATGAGCTTGGACCTGTTCACGGACTGTAACTTCACCACAGCCGTGGGTGCGCTGGGTTCTGTCTACCTCGTGGAAGTGGGTCAGTGGTTGAATGCTGCCATCGCAGTGGATAACTATGACCCCAGGACTAAGCTGGTACTGACCGATTGCGACGCATATCCTGTCATCCCTTATACCGCCTACACCCCTGTGGTCAAACTGATTCAAGATAAGTAAGTCAAAATTAGGTGAAGTAAAACCTCGATTAATCGACTCTCGTTTAACTGTCCTTTTCTGTTTTCTGTCATCGTCTAAAAATAATGAGTGAGTATCAACAAACAAACAAGATATCTTTAAAACTGTTTACTGATTACTTTTTACACCCTATTATATAAAGCTAGAAGTGACTGTACTGTGTGGAGTTGACATAAACGTCGGTGACGCAGAGGTTGAGGCCCGATATGGCGCGCCACAAATACAAATTAAATACAATATGTATGTACTATTCACATTAAAGGAATTCAGTAGTGAGGTACAAGACCACTCCTATCCCAACCCCACCTAATAAACAGCTCGTTTCTATGTACATTAAATCCAATTGTGTTTACTTTTATCGGTCGAACGGAGAGACAGCTTGGAAATAGAGTTGCAGAGCACATACCCAAATGGCTACATAAACAGTTCTTTAAGGGTGTCAAGACCAGTCAAGAGGAAGTAACCCGCTTCTTCAATAGGATGTCATCTACTAAATTCCGGACATGTAATTGACACAGACAGTGCTTTCCGTGTGGTTTACCACACTCCGAACAGGAGACTGTTGAGGATCGCCGAAGCTTTAACAATTAAAATCCACAACCCCCTTCTTTGTAAGCAGACGTAATTTATTGTAAATTTGAAGTCACCCTGTATAGTCATGTGACTACGGGGAGCTTGCGGCGGCCAAATAGGACACGATGTGTCGGAAGAAATTATTCGTATTTCAGTTGGATTTATTCAGTTTTGTGCTTCATTTTATGTTGATGTAACTCTGTAGTAACGCACCTGACGAGATACAGCGTAATATGCCTAGCAATGAATTGTGCAATGTATTGTTTGTGTCCGCATTATTTAAATTCATTACGGGAAAACATTGTTTTAAATTTACTTTCATTTTCGTCCCAGACCCGCAGTGGAATCATATTACTGTACATGTGTACTAACAGATTTCCGTTATCCGACTTTTCGACGATTAAACGAAGTTTTAACGTATTGGATTCTTTTGACATGAGGGACTCCTAAGGCTTCTATTGTTTTAGACCGCAGGGTCTCCATGGCGAAATGGTCAAGTCGTTTTCCCCGCACCCTGATGGTCATGGGTTCTTTTCACGACTGCGTCGTTCGGTTCAAGAGTACAATTTTTTACGATCTCTTTGGGTCGTTACAGGGGCTACGGTGTTCGTTTTCTATACGACAATGAATATGTGTCTGGCCGTTCTGCAGAGTCATATAACTACAGGGATGACATTTTAAAGATTTTCCAACGCTGTTTCGAAAGACAGAAAAACGCACAGAATGCTTGAGTATCCAAGGAAAAAACACCACCATTATTGGCTCCTGCTTAGCTGCCTGTACACCTACTAAGTTGAGCAAGCTGTGCTGCGAGGAGTTACTAGGAGATCTGGCCGATGTTCAACACTCAAGGGAAAGGAGAGACTGATATACAATCAGATAGTTACTGGTACCATCGGAATTAAAACTCTTCGCCTGCTGCTGAAGATGGAAAGGGTGGGGAGTGGGGGGTGGGGGGGGGACGGGGTGTCGATTCCTAATTCGACATTCAACATATTAGGATTGCAGTCTGTAGGACTTAGACTTCCAGGATTACGATCAAACAGGCACAGACCCAAGCAGCAGATAGATGATTAACAGCAAACTTTTTTGTTTTTGTATTTCGTTAGCTCACTTACTATCGTTCCCCTGAAGGACATAATTGTTTTATTTTGAAGCCCCACCCTGGCTTTTGCCGGGGGCCCTGAATATAACTAGGCCTTAAATATGGCCTAACGGCTGAACGGGGTTTCCAGGACCTCTCCAAGGGTGATCCTCAACCGCATGGTGTCACCAGGTGTTTATCGCTTGTGTGATATTCTGATGGGGTACAACTTACCTACCTTACTATTTCGCTAGGTGTCAGATGGGCCAACAAACAAATGTCCCCGTGTTGATGGGGCGCGGGTGTAAAAATGTTTGAAAAACACTGGTCTAAACCACACCCATGTTAACTAAGCAATACGATGTTAAAAAACTTGCTGTTCGTTTCTGAATGATGTGCAGCTCAACTCCTTCAATCCCAGAAGATTTCAAAGAAGATGCACAAACGGAATAACAAACACAATGGAATAACATCAGCATGTTAGTTTGAAAATGGCAACACATGGGGTATTGTATATCAAAATATCCGGCCTGGTTTTCGTAGCATGCTGCTACATGTTAAAGACATAATTATGTACCATACGGTGTTTGATTACACACAAACACTGATAACATGTCGTAGGTTTCTTGGGACAGAAAGAGTTAAATGTAGAAATCAGCTGCATTCATAATTCCTAAGCGATGGACGGTACAGACATACTAATAAGGTTCATATTCAATTTCAAATTGAGGGCACCCAGAAGCCACATTACCGAAGTGACTAGATTGTTGTCCATCGGTTTAAAGGTCTTTGGTTCCAATCCACATTGAGGCAGACTTTTTATAACTGAGGAGCCTCCAGATCGACCCAACCAAAAACCTTTAGCGGGAAATGTTTTGAGTAATAAATGTGTCAGATGTGGTTTTGATATCTGTATCCCTCGAGTGCAAGTTGTTCTGTTCAAATATTTAGTCTCACATCATATAGGGAGCCGTCGGGGTGTAGTGGCTAGATGCTCGCCTGCAGGTTCAAAGGTCGTGAGGGAAAAAAGGTGGGGGGGGGGGGGGGGGGGGGACAATTGTTCAGTGATTTATTTAGTGACTCTTTTTTGTATTAACCCTTTCAATGTGTACTGGATTTAACTCCTGTGCACCAGTCAACGCGTTTTTGTAAATATGCCTACGCCCTATCTATCTATGTATTTATGTATCTATCTATGTATCTATGTATCTATGTATCTATCTATGTATCTATCTATCTATCTATCTATCTATCTATCTATCTATCTATCTATCTATCTATCTATCTATCTATCTATCTATCTATCTATCTATCTATCTATCTATCTATCTATCTATCTATCTATCTATCTATCTATCTATCTATCTATCTATCTATCTATCTATCTATCTATCTATCTATCTATCTATCTATCTATCTATCTATCTATCTATCTATCTATCTATCTATCTATCTATCTATCTATCTATCTATCTGTCTGTCTGTCTGTCTGTCTGTCTGTCTGTCTGTCTGTCTGTCTGTCTGTCTGTCTGTCTGTCTGTCTGTCTGTCTGTCTGTCTGTCTGTCTGTCTGTCTGTCTGTCTGTCTGTCTGTCTGTCTGTCTGTCTGTCTGTCTGTCTGTCTGTCTGTCTGTCTGTCTATCTATCTATCTATCTATCTATCTATCTATCTATCTATCTATCTATCTATCTATCTATCTATCTATCTATCTATCTATCTATCTATCTATCTATCTATCTATCTATCTATCTATCTATCTATCTATCTATCTATCTATCTATCTATCTATCTATCTATCTATCTATCTATCTATCTATCTATCTATCTATCTATCTATCTATCTATCTATCTATCTATCTATCTATCTATCTATCTATCTATCTATCTATCTATCTATCTATCTATCTATCTATCTATCTATCTATCTATCTATCTATCTATCTATCTATCTATCTATCTATCTATCTATCTATCTATCTATCTATCTATCTATCTATCTATCTATCTATCTATCTATCTATCTATCTATCTATCTATCTATCTGTCTGTCTGTCTGTCTGTCTGTCTGTCTGTCTGTCTGTCTGTCTGTCTGTCTGTCTGTCTGTCTGTCTGTCTGTCTGTCTGTCTGTCGGTCGGTCGGTCGGTCGGTCGGTCGTCGGTCGGTCGGTCGGTCGGTCGGTCGGTCGGTCGGTCGGTCGGTCGGTCGGTCGGTCGGTCGGTCGGTCGGTCGGTCGGTCGGTCGGTCGGTCGGTCGGTCGGTCGGTCGGTCGGTCGGTCGGTCGGTCGGTCGGTCGGTCGGTCGGTCGGTCGGTCGGTCGGTCGGTCGGTCGGTCGGTCGGTCGGTCGGTCGGTCGGTCGGTCGGTCGGTCGGTCGGTCGGTCGGTCGGTCGGTCGGTCGGTCGGTCGGTCGGTCGGTCGGTCGGTCGGTCGGTCGGTCTGTCGTGTCTGTCGGTCGGTCGTGTCTGTCTGTCTGTCTGTCTGTCTGTCTGTCTGTCTGTCGTATCTGTCTGTCTGTCTGTCTGTCTGTCTGTCTGTCTGTCTGTCTGTCTGTCTGTCTGTCTGTCTGTCTGTCTGTCTGTCTGTCTGTCTGTCTGTCTGTCTGTCTGTCTACTTTTACCCAACCAGGACATCACACAAGCGATAAACACCCGATGACACAAAGTGCCACTATGCGGATGAGGATCACCGAGGAGAAGTCCCAGAAACCGCGTTCAGCCATTAGACCATATTTATGGCCGGGCTACATTGCCTTCCCTGGCAAGAGCCAGAGTTGGGTTTCCAATAACGAAAAATTGCATCTTACAAAGGAGATGACCAGATTATACCTATGCCTTTTGTTGTCAGTATAAGAGCTACATTCAATCATCGCTTATGAAATTCTGAGACTGAAAAAAAATTTGAGTAATCTCCACTGTCTTGACTGGTCTAAATAATGTGAGTTTAACATCATATATTGGCTTGTAGACGATCATGTGATGAGAAGGAGACAACTGGAGTACAAGGTGGTAGTAGGAAAGTTGGAGGGGAGAAGAGGCAGAGGGAGACCGAGAGAAAACATGCTGGGTAGTTTGATATCATCTCTGTCAGAGCTGACTGAAAGTACACGAGACAGAAGGTCGTGGATAGACATGACTACCAACTCCACACGGAAGAAAGGGTCCTTCACCGCGGTCCTGGCCTCATATGCGCTATTAGTGTGACAATGATATTTTCTAAAGTGAAGTAAAAGTAAAGGTCCCTTTTGATCGCCTTCATGCGTACAGGGCATATAGGGCTAGACCTATATTTTAAAGACCAATCGGCACAAGATGAGTGATGTGGTCAGCATCACGTCGGCCGCCTTCACTTCCTGGGATTGCACCTGGTACCCACTCAAGGCTAGGTCGACCTGGGAGTCAAAGTCATTTTTGAAAAAATTCGGCTTCGCCAGAAAGCTAACCCACGACCTTCCAGTCGGCACGCGAGTGTCTAGCCGCTACGCCACGGCGACTTACAATGATATTTTCTGCGATTTATTTTTGGGGAAATCATATTTACTGTAAACATTAACTCCCCAGGTGTCCTGTCAATCCCACTTTGACCATGTACTCACTGGACAATCGCCGAGAAGGATTCCAGGTCAGAGCTTTCTTGTTTGCTGGCTACAGCATGGTCTACATCCGCTGCTCCATCAACATCTGCCTGCTCAACTCCACTAGCGCCGAATGCGACCGCTCCTGTCAGAACCCTTTGCTCGGGCGCAGAAAGAGATCTGCCAATATCCTGGGATCGGTTTCTGTGGATACAAAAACTATATTTTTGTACAACGCAAGTGATCCAGGTGCTTACAGTTTTAACTCCTAACAGATTTTGTAGTGTGTAGTTAACCCTAAAGATGGTCACACATATTTTAACACTTAGCACTTAGTCTTAAGTTCTTTAGTTATGTGATGAGAACAAGAGCACTGGAAAATATCGTGACGACTGGAAAGATCACTGGTAGAAGAGGCAGAAGCAGACCAAGAGAAATGATGCAGGATGGCTTAAGACAGTGGCATGGAGGAATGTCATCAGTGGAATTGATCCAGAACATCAAAGACCAAGATTTGTGGAGATGCGTGAACAGCTGGCAAGGTTCTTGGTGATGATGATGAACTCAACTTCACTGTAGTCGGGTCACCCCATACTTGCTCAGTTGATTGATTGATTGATTGATTGATTGGCACCTTTCCGTCTTTCCAGACGAGAGTGTGCACAGTTTGCTTAGTTCCTGTGCGTTAAAAGCAAATGAAATCTCCATCACTGCGCCCCCCCCCCCCCCCTTTTCCCTAAAAAAAAAAGGTTTTAAGCAGGCTTACACTCCCCCCCCCCCTCCCACACCCCCTAAATTTTTCTTTTTTCTTCGAGCGACTTCGAACTACCCCTTAAACAATGTATATTAATTCGCTTTAAAAGGTATTCGTTTTATACATTTCCTATTATGTCAAATATTTTATAATATTTATATATTTGCCATTCAGCTAAATAATAATGTGCTGAATGACAGTTATTTAATAATAATCATCATAAACTTGGATCACATGCGCCGAAAACTTGATGCTCACTCTCAGGTACCACAACCCATGAACATGTTTCTCGCTCTGAAAATATGGCTCGTATATTCAAACCTGTCGGCTCTGTGGCTAAGTCGATGCGAACGCTTTGTAATGCCGGGATGCCGGGTTCGATCCCAGCTGCGGGTCATGCGCCTTGCGTTGGTTTCGACAGTGGTATCAAGAAAGCTGACCTTCCAGAAAGCAATGGCAAACTACTAAACGTAAATTTGCCTAGAAAAATCACACAACAGCCAGGGGCTGTTGGGTTGGTTCTGCAACGTCCTGTAAATGATACGCGACTAACCTTTATTCAAACCTATGTCTTTTTAATCTAGCCTAATAACTTTAAACACATCAGCTGTCTCTATCTATAGTGCATTTCATAAGTTGTACCATGAAATTTCAACAAATATTTGAAAAACGTGTGGCCTTTGATTTTCCACACCCTTATGATTTCAGCAGAATATTTCTTTGATCTTTGTTTGAATAATAATGTATGTACCCATAATAATTAGAGTATACAGTAATTGGCACATACCTGAAGACTGTTATGGAAATCAGTTCGCATGTACAGCGATGCGTAGTGACTTCTTTAATAGCTTAAAACTTACGGAAGCCGCGTTAGCGCAGTCGATAGGAGACTCGCTTTCAAATCCAGCTGCGACAAGCTGCAGTAAACGGTCGGTGTTCGAAACCGGGCGGTTCCCGGGGTTCACCCAGCCTCTATGATATAGGTACCAAAGTTAACACTGTGGTAAATGGAGGAACCTTGCTGAAGCTACAGAGTTACGAGCGGACGGCGACACATGCAGACAGTTTCTTATCAGCTGTCCGTACTAGTGGCAGAGCACTTATGGTTAATAACCGTGTGCAATGACGCTGGTTCACATCTCCCGATTTTACCTTTACTTTTTAAAAGCGTACAATGACAAATTCACAACTGACGAGAGGCTTGTGCTAAAGATAACCATCCGAGAGTGAAACGCATACGAAAAGCGTGAAATATTTTTTTTATCTCCTGCTACACAATTAACTGTAAGCATGGTGACTACTTTGAATCGGTGTCTGTTTTTTTTTTTTTTTCCTAACCTCTCAATTATCTAAAACAATTACTAAACAGAAACTAGATTTAAAAAAAAAATTATTACAAGGAAAAAATTATTAACAAGTGGCATGCCAAAAAAATTAACAACTTACCGAACAGTTAATTAGTTAAAGATTTTTAAAGCTCGGCATTACTTCTGGAACTCAGTAAAATATGAACTTATTTTAAATATAACTTGTTTCTCTATCTAAAATAATGAACTGTGTCATAAAGCTTTATTGTTATAACTTAATTAATTGAAACTAAGTCTCTAACAATTATGGTGTCGAATTCTCGCAGGTGCTTCGAAAATACTGCAAATGCTCAGTCCAAAGGCACAGCCGGGATCTGAGGACGCTGAGGCATCGAATCAAAACAAAGCACTTGTTGAAAACAACGAGGAGCAAGTCACTGCCGACAACCAAATTACTCACTTGACTACAGACACGAAGACAGCGACAACAGCAACTCAACAAACACGTACATCCACGTTGTCAATTCTAAAGAAAACCACAACCGCCATCCCTTCGACCCGTAGTTATACATCAGAGAAAGTTACACCTACAACTGCTACAAATACTCCACGAAATCAACAGGATGTAAAGAACCAAGACCAGGAGTTGAACGAATCAGAACTGCAGCAATATGAGGATCCGAGGCAAAACCACCCGCTGCAAGAGCAGGAGCGACAGCCAGCAGGACTTGAGGCAAACAGTTCATCTCCGAATGTTGCCCAACGTGGCATAGTAAGCGAGCTCAAAGGAGACAACCCGGATGGGGCTAGCTGCCTTATCGGAAGCAGAGCCATCAGTATCGTGATCTGTGCAGTCTGGCTGGTGTATCTGCTAACAGGAGCTCAACATTTCAACATTTAACGCTTTCGTACACAGACGATCCCCGTATAGGCTCTGAGCTCCGAATTTAGGGAGAAGGAAGAAAAAATTAACAGAGCCTCTGCCTCAAACAAGTATTTTGTAAAAGGCGATTAATTAATAGTTTGCTGAATTTGGATTTACTGAGTCAAAATTGCAGTCTAGATGTAAATGACAACAACATCGCACACCAACCGCCATTTTAATAGCGAATGCAGAAAAAGTATAAGTTCTCATATAAATGTAATTTTTTTCCCCCTATTCTAAAATCCTACAAACCATTCAAACTATCGAGCACTGCAAGACAAAAGTAGAAAGCAGATATTGCAACAGTGGTTGCCAAATTTGGTGAATATTTCTGGCCAAATGTGAAGAGAATGAAGACGCATTAGTATTTATTTTTCAGGGACAAACAAGCCATCCACACATGACACGTTTCTTCTTGGGGGCTGTAATCGTTACTTACTTAATAAATAGCACGACACTGCTGGCATGTGTGTCACTGTAGGCAGTAGTGTAGTTAAAAAGTAAAGTTCCCTCTTCCACGATTCTATGCGTACAGGGCTAGACCTTTTTTTTATAGACCATTTGACACAAGATGGGCGATGTGGTCAGCATCACGCCGGTCGCCTTTACTTTCCGGGACTGAACCCGGTACCCACTCAAGGCTGGGAGTCAAGGTCATTTCTAAAAAAAAAAAGTCTGGCTCCGTAGTGTAGTTACATGATTGTTAAATGTTGATGGCTACCATTATTGTCCGAAGTAATGTGGTTTTTTTTTTATCTTGATGGCCACTGTTATGGTTTGCTGTAGTGGTGTAATATGTTTTGAATATGTAGGCTCAAAGAAAAGAACAACAATAGCAACTACACAAAAGAAGTCAGAAAAAGAATTGATTTCGTCATGCAGAGGCTAAATAACATGAAAAACTTACAGGACAGCCCCTTGAAGCGAGTTAAAGTTAACATTTTGAGACCATGGGTCTTTCCAGTGGCAACTTATGGATGTGAGTCGGACTTTTAATCACTGAAGACAAAAACTGGGACTATATGAACTGAAATGCTGTAGAAAAATCATCAGAATACCATACACCAAGACGAAGGGGAAAAAACCTCCCAAATTTTACACGATTTGAGCATCAACGAGTTTAGCTCATAAACAGAATTCTGTCCTGAGAGCTAAGGTATTTTGACCATGTCAAACGTGATTGTAACCAAGGGAGATCGGTAATGGAGGGTACATTTTCCAGTTAAACGAGACAAAGGCAGACTTATAAGGATGTGGATACAAGACATCGCAGATGCATGGCTACGAAAGCACACAGGACTGAAGAAATGGCTAGAGAAACAGGGACTATCTGGCGTGCCGGGACGACAGTGAAGTTCTGTAAAGGTCTTGCTGGCTGACTGAGTAATATGTTCACTAAATTGTAATGCCTACTATTATTATTTGCTGTAGTATAGTTATATGATTATTAATTGCTGATAACGACTGTTATTGTATAGAGTAATGTGGTTATAGGACCCCCGCACTCCCCCTTTTTTTTTTTTTTTTTTTTGGGATAGTGTAAAGGCAATAGCATATCTTTTCGAAAACACAATGAAGATAAAATTCTAAATTTAAAGAAAACAGAATTAAGGTCTGCAGAACAAACCCGGGTTCTTTCCCAATATTTTACCACAGGTAACGTCACGACACAGTCCAATGATTTCGGGGGTGTTAAGAGCAGACTTTCCCAGTGTCTGTGTGTCTTCCAAGGCATCGCCAGGGTTTTGGCGCGTTTCTTCTTCCAGCGATGTGTGTTTGCTACGTCTCTCCGGCGACTTGTGTATTCAATCTTCATCGCCATGAATTTCCTGGAATGAGCAGCATCGGTGTCTGACTAAGAGAATTAATCAAGTAACAGAAAGTATTGTGAACGGCACTCATAGAAAGAAGTAGAAAGATAGAAGAACACACTAGACAACATAAAAATCGAAAGCTATAGTTACCGTGCCGGGAATTGAACCTGTCACCCCCAGACGGCGTCTGCGCTTCGCCATGAATACAAGTGCACTAAGATACATGGTCAACTCGGCACCCCCCAAAAAAGGTGTCTTATTGGCCATGTCTATCGTACAGCTTGAAATCCACGACTATGGAATACGGACAGAATTCATTTCAACCCATTGAAATGGCACCATAGGTTACAGAAATTTATATTAACGAAGCAAATGTCGAATAACAATCACAGCAACAATTTACGAACACAGTAAGACCTTATTGCTTTATCTAGAATACACAAACATTTAAGAAAGGTATTTGACTAAGAGAGCAGCGTTGCTTTGTCTGCAACATCATAGCATTCCGCATAGCACCAGAAGTTGTCGCAATAAACATGCGATGGTGTTACCACAATATCAGTCTACCACAACAGCAGGTGCAGTATTCCGACTTCTCTTCAGATCTACTAACGTCTAAAATTGTTCTGATCGTTAAAACATGCGTTAACCCACCAGTATACATTTAGAATGATTGGCCCGATTTAGGGTCACCGCCGCAGTACCCCAATAGGCAAAATATCCTGCCCGATCGCACAGAAAGTTCCACACAAACAAATAACAAAACAGCACTCTCCTACCCAGGAAAAAAAAAACACGTTATCGGCGATATCAGTGTTCTATATTCCACAATGTGCTCGCTTTTAACGACACCCAAAACATCTAAACTTACCCTAACCCCAGCTCACCTACGTCCCACGAGAAAATGCAGCCTAGGTCCCACTACTGTAGGCAGCCTAGGTCCCACTACTGTAGGCAGCCTGGGTCCCAATACTGTATGCAACCTAGGTCTTTATCCCCCCCCCCCCCCCCCCAAACAAACAAAAAAACCACAAAGAAAGAAAACACCCACAAAAACTGCACCTCCCTGATTACACATAAGGTCCACAATACACAGAAAAACGCACTAAAAAAAAGCACAAGAAGCACACAAAACTGAAAACTGCGCAGCGCAAAACCGATGGCAAACGAACTGCAAAATTACTACACTATACAACACCCCATGCAATATTATACTGTCCCGTGACATGTAGATTTGTGGTGAAATATGGGAAAAGTACCCAAACCCGCCCGGTGATAAAATCGAACACGTCACAAACTTTTAATATCCAGGCTCCACAATAAACAGCAAAGGAGAATGTTCAACACGAGTCAAAAGAAGTACGTCCATAGCAATGCACAGATTTTCTGTGTCTGACCATTTTTCCCGCCTTTAGTCGTATTGGGTATATAGGGCTAGACCTATATTTTATAGACCAAACGGCACTTAGTGGGTGAGGTGTTTAGCATCACACCAGCCGCCTTTACTTCCCATTACTGTACCTGGTACCCACTTAAGGCTGGGTCGACCTGAGAGCCGAAGTCATTTTTGAAAAAAAAAAATCTGGCCCACGTCAGGACAATGCGCAGATAAGACGACGTTAAAAGTCTATTGTTTAGCACCAGCAAGGAAATCAGTCAACATGTGGAAAGCAAACATCTTTCCTTTAGCAACATACGGATGTAAGTCGTGGCCTATCTCGCAGGCATTAAAGAAGAAAATAGCGGCCTTTGAACTGGGGGAAAAAAAGTGCGTCTCAGTTATTTATTTTTCTTGGAGCCATGATCTTCGGATCCACTGCCAACGTCTAGCCGCTAGACTCTAGCGGCCAGACCACAGCGGTTTCCATATGATGCTGGACGCGTGTTTTGTCTATACTAACTGCTACTCGATGGGTCATGTGATCAAGGTCAAGCTTTTCCTCTTTACTTCTAGGATTGTGAACAGTGCCGTGTTTGTTTATCTTGATGGGTATTGTCAATGTTTGCAGTATAGTAGTTAGTTGTCTATTAAATTTTGAGGGTGTCCATTGTTAATGCTTTAGTGCAGGTATTTATTGAATCCTGTGTTTTATTCCAATAACCATTACACAATCGTTAGACAGAAACCCCCCCCCCCCCCGCCCCCCCCCCAATCCCCTACCTAGTAGAGTTTATTTTAAAATTTGTTTATAAATATATAACTTCATTTGTATTATTACTTTTATTTGACATTAAACACATTTGTGACGAACTAATTTATGTCTGTCAGTCCATGCTAATCTTGGTCAGAAGTAGCCTCTTTCCCCTGCTTCCTTTTTCTCTTTGCCTTTAACAACTGTAAACTCTAGCAGAAACATTTCTGATTGTTAACCAACTTCTGGACTTCCCAGCTCCTACTACACACTAAATAACTACAGAAACTGTAGCTCACTTCTCTACAGTTTATTAATCAACGCAGAGTCGTCTTAACGCATGTGTGAGCTGGGAACTTGTCCAGCGCCCAACTAGCATAAGGGCCTCAAACTGCTCTGTGAAGGTCAAGTGGCTTGCTATGTAAGAAGTTCGCAGAAATTTCATACTGTGTCTTCTAATCTGTGTTTCTGCTTTAACACCAGTTTTCTTGAAGTGCTAAGAAAAAAAAAAAAATATGTTTAATATTATCGACCATTTACATTTCATTCTTGTAAATGGTTTGTCGTAGAGATCGCAGCACATTGGTTTGCCCAGGAGCACATCATGGCGTTAAGAGAGTCCTGAATCAGTGTACTTAATATTTCTGGGCATAATTTCCCACGCATATTCTCCGGTAACGTCACTATACTTTCGTTCTTCTTCTTCTTCGTGCATACCAGCTGTAGATTCTGGCGGAAAGTTCTGGATGTTTATCCACTTTTGGACTGCAGTCCTGTTCCAGAACCTGAGTGTTGCGTGTGCATCCGTTTTACAGATCATGCGTATGCAGACTGCTGGTTCCTTGCCTCTCAGGCAGATGCACTCCGACTTTGAATGAAGCTTCCAGTTAGTCGACTCTTGCGACATGCTTTTGGGTTGGCAGTGGGTCCGTTCTTGTTTTTCCCTATAATATTGCCCTGGAACCCACACCTGGATCCTTTCTTTCAAAATCATTTTAAAAAGTGTTGCTATAACAGATTATTACAAGTA